AGGACGGACGAAAATTGCGAGTGACTTGGGCTTTTATAATCCGGTAACCAGACTTTGTACTTCCCACTGATTCAGGTACACTGCCAAACTGAACTCTTGGGCTTTTATAATCCGGTAACCAGACTTTGTACTCCCCACTGATTCAGGTACACTGCCTACCAAACTGAACTGTAGAGAGTGGTACATTTTTGACCAACCTACGGAAAACCGTATTTTGTCTAAGGACGCTTTCAAAGCTGTCGACAACATGGGATCCGACATTTGTCGCGCAAATGAAGGTGGTCTCGACAGAAGCGATCGTCCCAAATGGGGAGAGTATAAATAACACTAGTTGGTTCCAAGCAGTAGGAACTAAAAAACAAACAAAGCTATTCAACACGAAAAAGAATTTGGGCAAGAGCAGAAACAGTTCGTGATACTTACCGTACAGTATAGATATAGAAGGTAGTAAGGTGAATTGTGGTCAAATTGATCAGATCGAGGAGAAGGCATCCAAAAAGAGCGAAGGTGAGGCGGAGTACCGAGGAGACGTAGGTCAACAGAACAGAGGTAGTGGAAAACATGGAAGTCATGGCATCACTTATTAAAAAAGACCTTGACGAGACCAAGTAGACAGTGCTGAGCAGGAGACAGGTGGAAGTGTGTAGGTTTGCGTAGAACAGTGTGCCCAAAGTGTCCACGCTAGTAAGCTGTTGCAACAGGCCAATAGTCCATGCGGCTAAGTGAATCAGGAAGGAGCTATAGATTCGCCATGCAAGTATGTGGTAGAGAAAGAAGCGACACAACAGTCGTGCCAGATGAAGATTGATTTTCAGACCTGCAGGTTCACCGCTTTCTGTCCAAACCAGCAGCCGAACAAGTTCACACGTGAAGTACTGTAGGTATTGTAGGCGAGAAAGAGAGAGGAGACGTAAGGGAGAGGCAACTTGCCTGATTTTGGAACGACTACCTCAACCCAAATACTAAAGGTCCAAAAACAAGTGCACAATCTCGACAGGATAATCCATCAAAAAATCAGGGCACCGCGCGCTAAGGAACAGCAGAGAGACGCACATGGGTGACTGGATGGCGAAAAATAACAAAGCTACTTTAATTGCGTTATGGCGTTTTAACGAACAAAGTAATTTCCGACCAGCATGCTGCATGAGGTCAGACCCCTTTCCGACGGGACTTCACCTTGTCACATAATTAGTTTCAGTAAGGGTTGTTGACACGGACTAGTAAACTCCAAATAGGAAAAGCACAAGCTGTTATGGAACACCTTGGATTACGTTTATATTTGGTGTTGCACATTAGAAAAGCCGATGACATCTGTCATCAAGTTGTCAGTCCGGTTTGTCTCACGAATCTGGCGGTAGATGGCCCTCTGGCATCATCCCACTATGACCACCGTCTCGGTATTGCGCTGGCTGGGGTGCCATACACACTGGGTTCTTCGGATGAAAGCTGCCGGCGTATATGGATCAGCTGCAGCTCAGCTGATCGGTCAGCTGAAGCAGTCACGTCAACTATTTGTATGAGCTCACCGCCGTTCTTCCATGCAAAAGGTAGGGCGCTAATAAAAAGCATACTGAAAGCTTGATTCCGCCCTGGTGCATAACTGACCGTGGCCGAAATATGGCTAAACAACTAAGGTTGAAAAAAATCTTATACTGGTCGGATCAATAGGGAATATAAGACGGTTCCCAGTCCAGAGGAAGGGCTTTTGAGGCCAGACATGGAAATGTGTCTGCTTCTATTTAAAGAGGTTTGTTTCCTTAGAAAGCTCCGACAGCTCCAGTTGTAGTGACGGCCGTTAGTTTGTCCGCTGATCTGGACCACTTGGTTGCAAACGTTTCATCACCAACCATGGTGACATCATCAGTGCGTTGTGAGTAAGAGTGTGTTGAAATTTTAACCTCAAATGTGGTGCTCTTAGTAAGCATGTACTTACGTCCTTATTGATAAACCACTGGCCGTGCGGTAACTACTAGTGGTTCCGCAACTCAAAAATCAGGGCTGCTCAAAGAGATGATGACACCAAAAACAACTCACTTCAATCCACCGATCTACAACTGTGAACCAACATCCGGTGGATTTCGTCTCAGAGGAAGATATGCTGTGCAGCAATTCCAATACGGATAAAATAACTGGAGGGGGTTGTGTCACGACAGAGGAATTGTCCGTTTCTGAACTGTTCACGTAGAACCATCCAAGTGTGGGAACCTTTGTACAGTCGGTTTCACTAGCAATCCAGTCCAGAGTTCCCAAATGATGAAGTGCCATTGAAGTGGATGACGTATGCACCGCTGTCCCATGAGGTAGATGTAACGGAGCCAGCAAGCTAAGCACCAACAAGAGAAGCTGCACCGCACCTAATAAAATCAGCCCGGCGTCTGTACTCTGGCACCCAGCACTAACGACATGACGATGCACTGAGAGGTCACGCGTGTACTTGACAGCGACGGTCAAGGACAGCAATTGGTTGTCTATTGTGAGCAGCTCGTCGCGGATCGGGTGTCGTGGCAACATGCCTCGTAGACGAAGAGTACGTCCGTTGTGGGCCAAATGAAAACGCACCAGCGTGCCAGTATAGCTTGCCGAAAGTACGCGATTGCCAAGAGACCGGAGATATCCCAGAATGTATTTGAGAGGCGGTAACCTGTGGTGAGTAGAAAGAAGACTAATGGAGAGCAAATGTTTTTTCTAGTTGATGGACAAAGATCAAGGACACGACCGAGTACTGTCGTACACCCACATAAACTTTAGCTATCACACATAACTGTTCCGCAGAAATCCACCAGGATTTCGTGAGAACCAGCATCAACAGCAGAAGACTGGTTTGACGCGAGCGTCAACGAAAAATTGATAGCTAAGGATTGGTTGTATATGCAACACAAATGAAAGGTTAGTAAGTCATCTTTAACCGCCAGAAATCCACAGAAGGCTACCAACCATTGTCGTACTCTTAGATCTAAAAGCAAGACTAGACTCAGTAGACCATGTTGCTCTGGGAATCTGTCCATCCGTTAAGGGCTGTCGGGATAAATCTATCTGCAAATTACATTGGCGTTAACGAAAGACTCCCGCTTATGATGTTCTTCAACTGAATATGCGAATGAGTGAACGAAGGACGCTTCATTCGAGATATCACAGTATGTCTTCTGGTTAAACCAAAGACTTATAAGACCCCTGAAAACCATTCGAACGCTCACGACCGGTTTTATCCTTCCTGGGAGTAATCAGTAGCGTAATCGCCATGTTCTCATCAGCTTCATTTTGAATCTCTCGTTAACACGGGTGTACTGTGCAAATGGGTGCAGTTCCTCAGTTGCGTAAAACTGCGTGTTGAAGAACAACATAAGGCTCATGGAAACCCGGGGGTTAAGTCTATCTTATGGACCCCAAAAGGCGTGAAAACAGCAGTGAGGTCTCGAAGAGTTCTCGGCAACCTCAGGGTTGGTGTACTCAGCCAAAAGTGCCAAAACACTCTATCGAACCTCTCGATTCCATATATTCCAACACCCGTGGAAGTCCACAAGGAGTACTCTAAATCGTGCTTCTTCATGTGTCCACGATGCGGAGTGCCCACCTCACCAATGGCTAGACGTCATCACCCGCGGCGTAAATTTCCAGAGTCAACGGCGCTTATCCTTGTTGTCTTGCTTCATGAACCTCAATTAATCTGCCTTGCCATCTTGTACCACCAACACCGAAAATTTTGGCGGCTCGAACCAAAGTAAACTCAAGTATGGTTGAAAGACTGGGCCAAACTGAATGACCTACGTTGGGGATATATGTGGCTGCTGACTGACATTCACAACTTAGGAAAATCGGGTATCTTATACGAGCAGATCCCACCTCCAGTGGTAAATAGTCATCGTGAAGTTGAGTAAAGCACAAAGGTCAGCCTAGTACGTTATTTCCAATTCCAACCGAACGCCAAGATTTTGTGTTGATGCAGCTTGCATGTTACTGTTGTGGATATGTAAAATGGACACACGAATTCATGGGCATTTGAACGAAGCTTGGCTGGAAGAATCATGGGCGCGGCTTTTTTCACACAAGCTGCGAAGTCTCAAAATAATCGCAAGAAGTGACAAAATTGATATCTCATAGACGGTAGAGGCATTCCACGTGCAAGCGTTAATCAATAATTTGCCGTCATGGACTAGCAAGATGCTAACATGAATGGTAAGATTATTAGCATCAGACAGATTGAAATAGAATGTAAGAATTGAGGAGACAGCCCCGAATGTGAGATCCAAACAGTATGAGCCGGTATGTGCGTACGTGGGAATTCGACAACCCAACTAGTCTCATATTTGACAGTTCGATTGAGAGCTCAGGTCCACAAATTTCCACACCGCCAAAAATGAGGGCCTTCATCGGAAGTAAGCTGTTAAAGATTACATGGGACTAAATGGAGATGATGATGATGCATGTTTCGATCTGCAGAACCCACCTCGAGTCGTTTTGGGGATCTGAGGACACGTCACTGGGGAGAGGCAGATTGACACGTAACGGAGAGTGTGTGAAGTGTTCGACAAGCATAGCTAGTGGTGCACCGAACGTGATCTTCAACCAATCGTGCTCAAGGTGAATCAGTTTGGACGTGGTCCAATTGGGTGAATATGAGGTAGAAGGTTGTACCGTACTCTCAAGGCTGTCCAACATTCGCGCCAATGAATAACGTCGTAGTGCCGGTAAATCGTCCCATTGAAACGCTATCCAAAGCGCTGTGTTCGGGGCATTGTGCAGAGATCTGCGGGTAAACCAAGAATATTCGATCGTTTAAGAAGAGAATACCACGTGCACATAAGAGTAATAAGTGGCATATAAGAGGCTATTTACGCTTATGTTCTCAGATTACCACCAGAGAAACGAGCCGCGCTGTACACTCGGATCCTATAGGACTTATAACTCCCACAACCATAAGAAAATTTTCATTTCAGCTGATTTATAGTATACAACTTGGCTACATTCAAGGTGATTGCAGAAAGGCTTTGAAGCAAACAGGACACGATGCGTCGATTCCAGAGTGTTCGGAATGTTTTGAGAACTGGCGTTTACTCAATCCCAAAAGTCCACACCAGTCCAAGACCGCGTTCACGAGCTGTCCTCGTGTTAATTGATGTATCTTGACCCTCGAGATCACTATATAGACACCCAAACTTGTAATCAGTCTTTCAGCACGTACATAACCGACAACTGTATCACTAAACAGGCAATGTCAAGCGACGGCGGATCTGGCGAGAAAGGAAGATTCTATTCCACAGTCAGTGGTCAAACGAAAGAACAGAAGCCTTTTGTAAAAAAAACAGAGAAATATAATGAGATTGATGGACTGCAACAACGTACGTAAAGATTTTCCTGTCAGCATCACAATGATTGCACTTCGAACATGTGGTGACCAGACACCCAACAGACGTTGCGTGAAAGTAGGCTGGCAATCGGGACAATATTGCTATCGAAAACAAAAATCGCACAAAGCAAAACGACATTAATGGAGGATAAGATAAAAATATGAAATGAGCGCAAAAACGAAAGCAACCAGATCGGTTTAACAATTAGAAATAGAGGTATTTTACAAAATAATGATTCCTCCGCTTGGACAGAGCGCTGAATGACCACGGTATGTCCATTCGGAACCACGATAATAAAAACAATGAATCGTTCAGCTGTAAAAACCTTTCGGCGCCCAGCCACCCCAAGCGAAGCGAACTTTCACACACCCTTCCCACTTCAGTATTTCTGCACGCAGGATCGTGACAACGAACATGTAATGCACAAAAAAGAAAGTAAGAACAAAGAAGACCGCAAGCGAACCTTGATGTTGCTGAGCGGATGACATATCAGCTGAATGACCATGGGAGTTAACCTGCGTTGCACTTAGACAGTTGAAATTTCCATACTAATCGCCACCCGTTCAACTGATAGATTAAAGGGGAGAAACTGTCAGCGTCAAGTCATGAGGTTAGAATTGCGACAAGTGTTAATCTACGAGGACAAATTAGACACAACGTTGACAAAATATCGCCTCCTGTTTGGTGAGTGACCAAAAGCGAACGTGCTGTAGACTGAAATCAACTTGGTTAGAAGAAATGAAACAAAACGGAAGTCAGTAGAAATCGAGTATAGGGGAAATAAGAAGGAAACAGCAGCAACATCACACTAGAAGACTGCACACGAGTGGATAGCACAGGAAACAGAAATAAGCCCTCCAGCTGAAATCCTCATAAATTCTTGGTATAGGTGAACAGAAATCAGATCGTTTCCATTCACGTCATGGAAGTACAACGCTTTGCTGCACCTTCGGACAGTTCACAAACATAGTTTTCCTTCATAAGCACAGTGGATCTCACCTATTTACCTTCCTCTCACCTGGTTAGATCATCATGGGCAGTCACGTGGGGATGTTGACGATTTTAGTTGTCTACTATAATCCAGTCGTAACTACTTACAGTTTTAATGTGTTACAGGGTGTTCAAATGTTTCACACACGGTTGAACCACAGTTATCTTGAGCGGTAGTCCATTGGACGTTAGACAAGGTCTATACTCGGGTTTTCCCTCAGTAAATGTCATACTTTAAAGGCAGTAAAATGAATAGCTGAGATAATAAGCGCCTAGAAACATACTTCTTAGGTAAGCACATTAACAGTGTTAGATGTGACGCAAAACCGAAATCACTGGAGACCGTTTGTGCCTTTCATGCTACTACCGGTTTTCGACGGTTTCCAGCGACCCGATTTGGCAACAAGACCGACGAAATCTTACGTATGTATACGGCAGGGCAAAAACCTCTCATTTACCATTGACGCACAACTGTTACTGATTGGGATGATGAATAAACATTCAGTGTATATGCACACCAGGTGCAGGGAATACGCACTTTTACATACTCGGTGACAGTGAGTTTACCGAACCCTCCAGTGACAGGAGTGTGAGGAGAGGCAGATTTTTATTCCTTACTAAGATTCACATTTCCGTACTGGGCGAAAACCTTTAATTCACTGGTGACAGAATGATATGCGTCGGATACGACAAAACCATGGAATGTATAGTGATGACAAGTAAATCATCACGTGTTTGCTGGAGTACCAAACAAATCAGTCAGTCGCTTGTCTCTGGAAGGGAAAATCAGTGAGCTAGCTTTACATTGAGGTAGCCCTCAGCTTGAAGCAAAGTTTATTGAACGAAAATTTCAAAACAACACTTGGGTTTTCGACTGGCACCGAATAGAAGTGATAAGCTTGGTAATAACCTTGTGTTTGTGTCTTCAACGGTTTGCATGCCGTATACACACTGGAAGAATGTCAGAGTTGAAAGGATTGAAAGATGCCCCCCCCCCGTGTTTTTATACTTTCACGGTGAAGAACGATGAAATA